GTGGAGGGGCCGGGGGCGCCGACGGGCTGCTCCCCGGCTCGACAGCCTCCCACCCTGCTGACCCACCGGTAGTGAAACAGCCTCGATGACAACAACAGACAAACAAACTCGGGACGGACGCGTGACAAAGGAAGCTGCGGCAAAAAGGGCGGCCGCGCGTCGCCGCTTGCGTGCCCGACGCGCCGAGGAAGCGCGGGTGGCGCTGCGAAGGCCGAGGGCCACAACGCCTGTCCTGGGTCCAGGGCACGCCGCTGCGCACAAGGATGGGCGGCAGGCGGCGCGCCGGCGGCCGCACAGGGACGGCGCCGGCCCTCCACCGCGGCGCCCGCTGCCGCAGCACATGCTTAGCAGCCGCAGCTGGCGCCGCTCCCGCTGATAGTTCGGCTGATGCTGCTGCTGCTGCCGCCGCCGCTGCCGCTGCCACGGGTGCTGCTGCTTTGGACGCCTGGCGAGCGCGTCGAAGAACAAGGGCCCGCCTACCACGTCTGTCGGTTCGCGCCGACAGCGCTGCGGCCACGCAGCTGCCGGCGCCCGCCGCCTGCGAGAAGCCGGCGCCCACGACCACGGCCCTGCGCCCTCAACGGCCCCCGCCGTCGCCTCAGATCTCGTAAATCACGCGAGATCACGCGAGATACCTGTACATCTTCCGGTCAGCCTCGTCCCTCTCCAGGAACTCGCGCTCTATCATGGTCTCGATCCGCTTCTTGATCACCGCGGGGTTGGGCACGAACCGCGGCGTCAGCTGCCGCGTCACCTGCCGCACGGCACGGGGGTGCGGGGGGGAGCGCGTCGGCAAGGGCGAGGGCGCGGCGAGGGGGGCATTCACAAGGTCGGCATTGACAGTCCCAGCTGGGACGTGCGAGAGGGGGATGATGAAGGCTGCGCGCAACGTGACCTTCACATGTGCTGCCAATTTTGCCCATGCGCGTGGCGACATGCAAAACGGCCGCGGACTCGTGTTTGGTCGCCAGCCCAACATGCCGCTTGAGCGTGACCCACTCTCTCACCCTTTCTCTGCCAAACACACATACACACACATCCAGCAAACCACACACACACACACCAAGCAACAAACATACGCAGAACAAGCAACACAAGCGCACCAAGCAACACGCACGCATGCTCGCCATGCAATGCACACCCAGACCCAAACCAGACCGCCCCCCTACCTCAGTGATGAGTGTGTTGTGGTCCAGCACCTTGCGGCTCTTCATGATGCGCACTATGGCCGCGTCAATCTGGGGCTGGCGATCCTGCTCCACCTGGGGGTGGTATGTGTGCGTGTGGGTGTGGGTAGGTGTAATGAATGTGGGAGGCGAGGGTACATGTGTGTGTATGTGTGTGTATGTGTGCGAGCATGCGTGCGTGTGCATGTGCTGTGCGTGTTGTGCGTGTACGTGTGTGTGTGTGTGTGTGTGTACGTGCGTGCATGTGCGCGCGCGCATGTGCGTTGACAGGTGAAGAGCCAAGGGTGGGGGCGACACAGCCGGTGCGTCGGTGCTCCGCAAAGAGCAGCGATCCGCACCCGCGCCTCCACCACATGCGCACGCGCCCCTCATCACCTCCCAGCCTCCGCCCAGCCCCCCCCCTCTGGGGTGGCCCCCACCTTGTGGCGCGTCTCGTTCTTCTCCGCCTCCCCCTCCTTGGTGGCCGACACCGTGCCGATCTTGATCTTGAAGAGCTTGCTGCTGAACTTCTCGTTGAACGAGAAGGAGTCCCCCTCCTCCACGTCCTTGGACATGGGGACCTTTTGGGGGGGGGTGAGGGGAGGGGGGAAGGGGGGAGGGACGTGGTTCGAATTGATGCTGGTGGTGCAAAGTCCTGTCAATCTGGGTGCCCGGCAGGGTGTGACAGGGTCCATGTTTGGCTAGTAGCGGCTGAGGGTGAAAGTAGGGGGTGGATCACTCAGTGGGACCATGATGCGAGGTGATGGAGGAGGGGCCGGCGCTGACAGGTTGCGTGCACTGCCGTGAAATCCGCTGAGGTGCCGCCTGACAAGATGACACGTGGCAAGCACACATGCACAAGCGCCCCGCGCCACCTGAAACCCCCCCCCCTTAGCCCCACCTTTGTGAGTACGTTCTTGCCCTTGGCGCAGGCCAGGCTCTGCAGGCTGCGCTTGAGGTCGCCCGCGGGGATCTCAGTGGCGGCCTCGATCTCCTTG